ACCCCCACCCCCCACCACCCCCACCCCAACCCCTCACCCCCACACACCACCCCCACCCCCCACCACACACCGCCCCCCACCCCCACCCCCCCCCCCCCAAAAAAAAACATGTCTACCGTCCCATTCAACGAAATATAATTATATACTTTTTCCAGTGTCCGCCCCCTCCCAGAAAATTCTACCCCCGCCCCCGAAAATTTCAAGTACCCCCACCCCTCTCCGGGGAGGAAAAAGTCTGAAAGAAACACTGAAACCAACCCACCCCCCACCCCCCCCCCACACCACCCCCCCCCCCACACTACCCCCCCACACACACACCACCCCCCACCCCACCCCTCCACCACCCCCCACCCCCCAAAAAAACATGTCTACCGTCCCATTCAACGAAATATAATTATATACTTTTTCCAGTGTCCGCCCCCTCCCAGAAAATTCTACCCCCGCCCCCGAAAATTTCAAGTACCCCCCACCCCTCTCCGGGGAGGAAAAAGTCTGAAAGAAACACTGAAACCAACCCACCCCCCCACACACCACCCCCACCCCCCCCACCCCCACACACCACCCCCCCCCACACACACACCCCCCACACCCCCCCACCCCCCCAAAAAAAAACATGTCTACCGTCCCATTGCAAGAAAACCACTTTTTAGATTAGACACATTAATTAGGCGGTAATTTTATTATAGAGTATCGATGAGGAAATTTCTTTTGAGTTGGGGAGGGGGGGGGGGGCTCAGACGTTCTTACGCGGGGGGTGGGGCTTCGCCCCTACCCGAAGAATTGTATGCAAGAAACTCTTCACGCAAACCATTTAGATTAGACAACATTTCCTTTTTAATTCAATGTTTACGCGATAATCAATGACGTCATATGACTGTGTGCACTCTCTGGTTTGAGATTATGTTCTACTCTGCGCTAAATGTGTCGACGTCATACTTCGTTTTTCGAAATACTATGCATGTTTTTAAATTGCTTGTGTTTTCTCTAGAGCGTTCTTGTCAGACAGAACGTTCTTGTCAGATAGACAGACAGACAGCGAAACTATTATTATAGACGAGAAAAATGGCCCGTTGAGGAAGGGTACAACGGGCGCTAGGCTGATAGTGCTGTCTCTTTTCTCTAAACTAAAACCAACCCACCCCCCCACACACATAACATAACAGGTTTTTATTAGTAGAGTTACAGAAAAGTTTGACTGCATTCCTACATTCAGGGTTATTAAATAGTTAATTTACCATTTTCTACAAGTTGGTGTATAGTCAGTGAACAACTATTTGCTATATTTATGTGTTATCTTCTGGCTAATAGTAGGCTAATTAACTAATTAACCCGACACACATTTCACACATGGGATGGGAAGTAACTGGTGTAAGGATTCGCTTGTTTCCACCAACTTCTCAAAAGTCAGCCCATGAGAAGAGACGGACAAACTGACCGAAGGACAGACAGACATCTAGACAGACAGTCCATGAGTAGTCACTGAGTCATCACATCCTAGTGACTCATTGACTCCATGAGTCTAGGTCACCGAGAGTCTAGGTCACCGAGATTTATTTCATTGAAATCTCCTAAACTTTGTATTAATGTTACCCAATCCGAAGGAATTCAACACAGTCAAAAATGTATTTCTATGCTAGGAACTAGGTCTATACCTAAATTTCTTTCAATCGTACAATTGACACATAAACATATGTGTAAGTTTGACAGCACTTATACAGTGCCTAACTCTATAATTAACAAAACTTAGCATAATTAACATGACATATTTCTATAATTTTTAATCTTTTCATGCATGACATTTTTCTATAAATCTGATTAACACTAAAGTTCACATCTTGAACTTGAAAATATTTATTTGCAATTTGATATCATTGGCGAAAAGTTAATCAATCGCATCGTATTTCTTAAACTTTGTCAAGGTTGTTTTTTTTTTCAATAAGTTTTCTAGCCCATCACCTTAACTTATATTTTTAACCCCTTCACCCCCTTCACCCCCTCCCCCAATACTTATAAAGCCGGAAGTTGTACGAGTGTATCTCACGACCATAAATAGCCTACGGTGACGCTAATCTGTGTCACCGTGTAGAGCACACGTCTCACCGCCGTGTTCACACGCTGGTCTACAAACATAGGCCGTGTTTGTCTAATAGCCAGGGATTTCCTTGCCGCAAACTATCATATCAAGCGACCCGGACTTCAGAATGTGATTTGATACTTGTGACAATGCCTTCATAATGTGATATGATCCTGCGTACTTACAGATGCGAATAGAATTTACCAGTAAACAAATGTGATTCTTTTGTGCTTTAAAAGTGCTGTTAAAACTTGTTTACACAAATCACTAGGACACACACTCATTTAAGGCACTGTCACACTGTCATTAACAACCCCCCCTCCCGACCATAAATCTCATATACTAGATAAATGGCCCGTTGAGGAAGGGTACAACGGGCGCTAGGCTGATAGTGCTGTCTCTTTTCTCTAAACTAAAACCAACCCACCCCCCCACACACCACCCCCACCCCACCACCCCACACCCCCACCCCCACAAACCACCCCCACCCCCCACCACCCCCACCCCAACCCCTCACCCCCACACACCACCCCCCACCCCCCACCACACACCGCCCCCCACCCCCACCCCCCCCCCCCCAAAAAAAACATGTCTACCGTCCCATTCAACGAAATATAATTATATACTTTTTCCAGTGTCCGCCCCCTCCCAGAAAATTCTACCCCCCGCCCCCGAAAATTTCAAGTACCCCCCACCCCTCTCCGGGGAGGAAAAAGTCTGAAAGAAACACTGAAACCAACCCACCCCCCACCCCCCCCCCCACACCACCCCCCCCCCCACACTACCCCCCCACACACACACCACCCCCCACCCCACCCCTCCACCACCCCCCACCCCCCAAAAAAACATGTCTACCGTCCCATTCAACGAAATATAATTATATACTTTTTCCAGTGTCCGCCCCCTCCCAGAAAATTCTACCCCCGCCCCCGAAAATTTCAAGTACCCCCACCCCTCTCCGGGGAGGAAAAAGTCTGAAAGAAACACTGAAACCAACCCACCCCCCCACACACCACCCCCACCCCCCCCACCCCCACACACCACCCCCCCCCCACACACACACCCCCCACACCCCCCCACCCCCCCAAAAAAAAACATGTCTACCGTCCCATTGCAAGAAAACCACTTTTTAGATTAGACACATTAATTAGGCGGTAATTTTATTATAGAGTATCGATGAGGAAATTTCTTTTGAGTTGGGGAGGGGGGGGGGGGCTCAGACGTTCTTACGCGGGGGGTGGGGCTTCGCCCCTACCCGAAGAATTGTATGCAAGAAACTCTTCACGCAAACCATTTAGATTAGACAACATTTCCTTTTTAATTCAATGTTTACGCGATAATCAATGACGTCATATGACTGTGTGCACTCTCTGGTTTGAGATTATGTTCTACTCTGCGCTAAATGTGTCGACGTCATACTTCGTTTTTCGAAATACTATGCATGTTTTTAAATTGCTTGTGTTTTCTCTAGAGCGTTCTTGTCAGACAGAACGTTCTTGTCAGATAGACAGACAGACAGCGAAACTATTATTATAGACGAGAAAAATGGCCCGTTGAGGAAGGGTACAACGGGCGCTAGGCTGATAGTGCTGTCTCTTTTCTCTAAACTAAAACCAACCCACCCCCCCACACACCACCCCCACCCCACCCCCCACCCCCACACACCACCCCCACCCCCACCACACACCACCCCCACCCCCACCCCCCACCACCCCCAACCCAACCCCTCAACCCCACACACCACCCCCACCCCCCACCACACACCCCCCCACCCCCACCCCTCACCCACACACACCACCCCCTACACACACCGCCCCCCCCACCCCCCACCCCCCCCCCCCCAAAAAAAAACATGTCTACCGTCCCATTCAACGAAATATAATTATATACTTTTTCCAGTGTCCGCCCCCTCCCAGAAAATTCTACCCCCGCCCCCGAAAATTTCAAGTACCCCCACCCCTCTCCGGGGAGGAAAAAGTCTGAAAGAAGCACTGAAACCAACCCCCCCCCCCACACACCACCCCCCACCCCCCCCACCCCCCCCCCCCCACACACCACCCCCCCACCCCCACCCCCCACACACACCACCCCCCCACCCCTCCACCACCCCCCACCCCAAAAAAAAAACATGTCTACCGTCCCATTCAACGAAATATAATTATATACTTTTTCCAGTGTCCGCCCCCTCCCAGAAAATTCTACCCCCGCCCCCGAAAATTTCAAGTACCCCCACCCCTCTCCGGGGAGGAAAAAGTCTGAAAGAAACACTGAAACCAACCCACACACCACACCCCACCCCCCCCACCCCCCCACACCACCCCCCCCCCACACCCCCCCCCCCCCCCCCCCCCAAAAAAAAAAAAAACATGTCTACCGTCCCATTGCAAGAAAACCACTTTTTAGATTAGACACATTAATTAGGCGGTAATTTTATTATAGAGTATCGATGAGGAAATTTCTTTTGAGTTGTGGAGGGGGGGGGGGCTCAGACGTTCTTACGCGGGGGGTGGGGCTTCGCCCCTACCCGAAGAATTGTATGCAAGAAACTCTTCACGCAAACCATTTAGATTAGACATTTCCTTTTTTTCAATGTTTACGCGATAATCAATGACGTCATTTTTAATCTTTTCATGCATGACATTTTTCTATAAATCTGATTAACACTAAAGTTCACATCTTGAACTTGAAAATATTTATTTGCAATTTGATATCATTGGCGAAAAGTTAATCAATCGCATCGTATTTCTTAAACTTTGTCAAGGTTGTTTTTTTTTTCAATAAGTTTTCTAGCCCATCACCTTAACTTATATTTTTAACCCCTTCACCCCCTTCACCCCCTCCCCCAATACTTATAAAGCCGGAAGTTGTACGAGTGTATCTCACGACCATAAATAGCCTACGGTGACGCTAATCTGTGTCACCGTGTAGAGCACACGTCTCACCGCCGTGTTCACACGCTGGTCTACAAACATAGGCCGTGTTTGTCTAATAGCCAGGGATTTCCTTGCCGCAAACTATCATATCAAGCGACCCGGACTTCAGAATGTGATTTGATACTTGTGACAATGCCTTCATAATGTGATATGATCCTGCGTACTTACAGATGCGAATAGAATTTACCAGTAAACAAATGTGATTCTTTTGTGCTTTAAAAGTGCTGTTAAAACTTGTTTACACAAATCACTAGGACTGGTAACATTTGATACTTTGATATCGCACTGAATATTACGTTACCTCAGTTCGCCGTTTTTATAGTGTATAGATCTATAGTTTTCAGTATTTCTGTTTCTAGATTCAAATTCAGTCAAGTTTGTGTTTTTTCCGATTTGTGCAGCAGAGTATATAGTCTAGATTGATAACGTTGGTTCTAGAGTTTGTCAGTAGTTCCCGAATTTGTCAATAGTTCCCGAGTTTGTCAATAGTTCCCGAGTTTGTCAATGGTTCCCGAGTTTGTCAATAGTTCCCGAGTTTGTCAGTAGTTCCCGAGTTTGTCGATAGTTCCCTAGTTCGTCAATAGTTCCCGAGTTTGTCTATAGTTCCCGAGTTTGTCAGTAGTTCCCGAGTTTATCTTTGATTCCCGAGTTTGTCATTGGTTCCCGAGTTTGTCTATAGTTCCCGAGTTTGTCTATAGTTCCCGAGTTTGTCAGTAGTTCCCGAGTTTATCTTTGATTCCCGAGTTTGTCATTGGTTCCCGATTGTATCATTGATTCCCTTGTGCTACCTATTCTTAAGATTGAGTTCCAGTAGATTCTATATCTGGTCCCATCCCTATGTAATTGTATTACGTAGCTCTCTGCTTAATTTCAGTGTAATTGTGAAAGTATCTGGTTAGATTCAGATATATCTGTATGCTTGATGTATCCGCATCATCCGTTTTCCATTTTTTTTAAAAATGTATTTGCTATGATAGCCCAAAGTTGGCCAAATCGCGAAGTGACTATTACCATGTCACAATGACCGGCCAATATCCGATGTGTTTTTTTATTTTTAATTATTACGGACATGCGCCAAACACTTGCGAAATGGCTTCAAGCGATCGGCCAAAGCCAGAATAAAAAACACCATGAGCAAAGTCTGTGTGTGTGTAGCAGTTGGATGATGAGGTAAGGAGTTAATATAAAGTGGTTCCGCTGGAAGAGTTACATTCCTGCAAGTTATTAATTGCTTGTCTTGCACAGGTTAACTAGCTGTGGTCAGATTTTCATTGGGTTATTTAGGTGCTTCTATTAGAGACACAGTGAAACAGGTTCTGTAGACTGTCCGGATTGTATACAGTGGCGTAGCAAGGTCGGGTGTCACCCGGTGCGGCACTTAATGGTGTCACCCCCCCAGCTACGCCTCTGCGTGTATACAATCATATATTTAAACGTCATTGTACCATAAAATAGATTTACGGCCCCTTGTATAATAGCACGGATAAATGATATATTCTCTCTATAACTGGTCTTGTATATCTTTTAGAGTAACTTGGATATAAGCCTACCATACGATATCAAAGGGTTATCTTAAGGTAGCTCATACACACACACACCCACACATAAAGTTCTGCACACGACATGACACACACACACACACTCATTTAAGGCACTGTCACACTGTCATTAACAACCCCCCCTCCCGACCATAAATCTCATATACTAGATAAATGGCCCGTTGAGGAAGGGTACAACGGGCGCTAGGCTGATAGTGCTGTCTCTTTTCTCTAAACTAAAACCAACCCACCCCCCCACACACCACCCCCACCCCACCACCCCACACCCCCACCCCCACAAACCACCCCCACCCCCCCACCACCCCCACCCCAACCCCTCACCCCCACACACCACCCCCCACCCCCCACCACACACCGCCCCCCACCCCCACCCCCCCCCCCCCAAAAAAAAACATGTCTACCGTCCCATTCAACGAAATATAATTATATACTTTTTCCAGTGTCCGCCCCCTCCCAGAAAATTCTACCCCCGCCCCCGAAAATTTCAAGTACCCCCCACCCCTCTCCGGGGAGGAAAAAGTCTGAAAGAAACACTGAAACCAACCCACCCCCCACCCCCCCCCCCCCACACCACCCCCCCCCCACACTACCCCCCCACACACACACCACCCCCCACCCCACCCCTCCACCACCCCCCACCCCCCAAAAAAACATGTCTACCGTCCCATTCAACGAAATATAATTATATACTTTTTCCAGTGTCCGCCCCCTCCCAGAAAATTCTACCCCCGCCCCCGAAAATTTCAAGTACCCCCCACCCCTCTCCGGGGAGGAAAAAGTCTGAAAGAAACACTGAAACCAACCCACCCCCCCACACACCACCCCCACCCCCCCACCCCCACACACCACCCCCCCCCCCCCCCCACACACACACCCCCCACACCCCCCCACCCCCCCAAAAAAAAAACATGTCTACCGTCCCATTGCAAGAAAACCACTTTTTAGATTAGACACATTAATTAGGCGGTAATTTTATTATAGAGTATCGATGAGGAAATTTCTTTTGAGTTGGGGAGGGGGGGGGGGGGGCTCAGACGTTCTTACGCGGGGGGTGGGGCTTCGCCCCTACCCGAAGAATTGTATGCAAGAAACTCTTCACGCAAACCATTTAGATTAGACAACATTTCCTTTTTAATTCAATGTTTACGCGATAATCAATGACGTCATATGACTGTGTGCACTCTCTGGTTTGAGATTATGTTCTACTCTGCGCTAAATGTGTCGACGTCATACTTCGTTTTTCGAAATACTATGCATGTTTTTAAATTGCTTGTGTTTTCTCTAGAGCGTTCTTGTCAGACAGAGCGTTCTTGTCAGATAGACAGACAGACAGCGAAACTATTATTATAGACGAGAAAAATGGCCCGTTGAGGAAGGGTACAACGGGCGCTAGGCTGATAGTGCTGTCTCTTTTCTCTAAACTAAAACCAACCCACCCCCCCACACACCACCCCCACCCCACCCCCCACCCCCACACACCACCCCCACCCCCACCACACACCACCCCCACCCCCACCCCCCACCACCCCCAACCCAACCCCTCAACCCCACACACCACCCCCCACCCCCCACCACACACCCCCCCACCCCCACCCCTCACCCACACACACCACCCCCTACACACACCGCCCCCCCACCCCCCACCCCCCCCCCCCCCCCCAAAAAAAAACATGTCTACCGTCCCATTCAACGAAATATAATTATATACTTTTTCCAGTGTCCGCCCCCTCCCAGAAAATTCTACCCCCGCCCCCGAAAATTTCAAGTACCCCCCACCCCTCTCCGGGGAGGAAAAAGTCTGAAAGAAGCACTGAAACCAACCCACCCCCCCCCACACACCACCCCCCACACACACCACCCCCCCCACCCCTCCACCACCCCCCACCCCAAAAAAAAAAACATGTCTACCGTCCCATTCAACGAAATATAATTATATACTTTTTCCAGTGTCCGCCCCCTCCCAGAAAATTCTACCCCCGCCCCCGAAAATTTCAAGTACCCCCACCCCTCTCCGGGGAGGAAAAAGTCTGAAAGAAACACTGAAACCAACCCACACACCACACCCCACCCCCCCCCACCCCCCCACACCACCCCCCCCCCCACACCCCCCCCCCCCCCCCCCAAAAAAAAAAAAAAACATGTCTACCGTCCCATTGCAAGAAAACCACTTTTTAGATTAGACACATTAATTAGGCGGTAATTTTATTATAGAGTATCGATGAGGAAATTTCTTTTGAGTTGTGGAGGGGGGGGGGCTCAGACGTTCTTACGCGGGGGGTGGGGCTTCGCCCCTACCCGAAGAATTGTATGCAAGAAACTCTTCACGCAAACCATTTAGATTAGACAACATTTCCTTTTTTTCAATGTTTACGCGATAATCAATGACGTCATTTTACTGTGTGCACTTTCCGCCTTGAGATTATGTTCTACTCTACGCTAAATGTGTCGACGTCATATTTCGTTTTTCGAATTACTGTGCATGTTTTTATTTTGCTTGTGTTTTCTCTAGAGCGTTCTTGTCAGACAAAGCGTTCTTGTCAGATAGACAGACAGACAGCGAAACTATTAGTATTAATTCACTGATAGTGTGTGATAGCCCATTTTGTTTTTATCTTGAATGCTAGTATCGCTGTAAATGTTGGTAATTACAGTCTATTCTATAACTCGACACGTTGTTGTATACAGCTTTAAACCGAACAAGGAAGACGATTCGCCGTTTACTGATTAGCGTTCCCCCTTATAATAGTTTATTTTTAGTTTACATTTTAAAAGCACCCCCCCCCCTAACATTGGTTGAAATGTTGATTAGGTCTACTAGGTCTACTAGAATGTTCTGGGCCGTTGATTTAACTTTCCTGTGTCGGGTTCGTTCAACCATGACGCAGAGTCTAACAAACCACCTGAGCTTTACTCGACGTGTTTTTTTTTTACTTTCTGGTATACGAAGTATAGGCGGAGTATTGTACCCGTGGAAAACGAAATCTTCACAAATCTCAACGGTTTACTCCTCCGTGAGTCGGAAAAAACATAGTTAGGCCCTACATAAGTAGGCCGTATAGTAGCTTAAAGGCCTACACAGAACGTGTTATAAAATTGAAATGGCTGTTTGCTCTGATCTAGAAAGTACTAAACGGGCAATTTTGATTAGAACATCTTTGCTGTAGTACTAGATATCTAATTCAGGTAGGACTAGTGTTATCATTGAGGTACTGTCCTACTTTACTAGGGACCCTCCACTTGAACTGGACCCCACTACCCTACTCTACCTGCCCCCTAACATTACATGCACCCCTTCTACCTTACCCTACATTACCTGTACCCCCCTACCCTACCCTACTCTACCTGCCCCCCCCCCCCCCCTAACATTACATGCACCCCTTCTACCTTACCCTACATTACCTGTACCCCCCCTACATTACCTGTACCCCCCCCCCCCCAACATTACCTGTACCCCCCCCCCCCAACATTACCTGTACCCCCTACCCTACATTACCTGTACCCCCTACCCTACTTTACCTGCCCCCCTACATTACCTGTACCCCCTACCCTACTTTACCTGCCCCCCCTACATTACCTGCACCCCCCCTACCCCCTACATTACCTGTACCATCCCTACCCCCCTACATTACCTGTACCCCCTACCCATCTGTACCCCCTACCCATCTGTACCTGATACTGACACACAATCCTGTTGTTTACACCACTAGCTAAAGTCTAAGACTCCCAAAAACTTGATACCAGTACTTTGGTCTATAGTGTTTTAAAAACTTGATATCAGTACTTTGGTCTATAGTGTTTTAAAAACTTGATACCAGAACTTTGGTCTATTGTGCCTATCTTTTCCAGCCATCAGTCAAGGTTAAGAAGACGGGAGATGATATTCTTCCTGTTGTATATTTCATTCAACGTGTTCAACACACATCTACAACGTTGTACTGATGTTTTTATATTTCATTCAACGTGTGCAACACACATCTACAACGTTGTACTGATGTTTTTATATTTCATTCAACGTGTTCAACACACATCTACAACGTTGTACTGATGTTTTTATCCATGTAGGCCTAAAGTAGTATTACAAAAAATATGGCCTTACCACCGTTTATTTTAAAGTACCATCTTGTCTTTTTCCACTGATACACTTAGTCTTAGTTTGATCTTTCTGGTTGATACACGTGTTAGTAGCGACATCGCCTGGGAATTAGTCTGACATTATGATTTAATTTATTGCAAATATACTGGGGCATTGAGATGCTGACATGTGGAATTAATGATATGTGGGACCTACTGACACGTGGATTTACTGACACGCGGACCTTCGATTTTTAAATCGTGACATGAAACTGCAAGCTGCAGGAATCTTCGTCTTTTCCCTCCATGCCCAAGACACACAAAGCCGCCACAGAAAGTTCCCTTCACATGTGTCTGTCTCTGGCGACTATCATGACCCACCCAGCATCATGTTTTTTTTTTCAATGACTTCTGAAGCTGCTTTCGTTTACATCTCTCCTAATAATCTATCATTGCTGATGATGTTAAGCCAGCGGATGCCTTAGAACACGCTATTTATTTCGATAAAATCCATCGATATTCTGGTGGCGGTTGTTGCTTTCCAGCATTTACTGCCATACAGTAAGACGCTAAGGACATTACTCTTGTAAAGTCTGCGTTAAAATTTGGTCTTGGAGATTTTGCTCGATTGACATATTGTTTGTATGGCTGAAAAGGAGTGTTTGGCTTTAAAGAAGCGTGTTTTAATTTCAGCGGTACGGTCTCATTTATAATTGAAAATGCTTCCTTATTATGTGAAATATTTTACTTCCTCTACTTGTGATTTGTTTAATTAAATAGATTATTCGAAAGTTTTTTTTTTCTTTTTAATTAATGAATTTGCTTTTATTGGTGTTTATTTCTGTTCAGTTTTTCTTGCGTGTCTGTTTTACTGTTAGCTATGTGAGTAATGACGGTTATGTCGTCTGCAAAATTGAGGTCCTCAAGGAATTTTCACACGCAATACATGTCACATACACTCACGAACATACATCCACACACACCGATCCCCTCGTCACACACACACCGACCCTCTTACCACACACACACCGACCCTCTTACCACACACACCGACCATCTTCCCATCTTCCTCTCACAAACACCCATTGAGAGTTCCCCTACCAAAGCAGGAACCTAAACCAACCAAGCGTGACCACTTCAGGTAGCCTAGGATCAGAATACCATGAGGTACATCCGGCATCAAATTTCCCCACACAACAGTCTGTCATGTTTTTTATTTCTGTAAATCTAGAACATTCTATAAAGATAAGGATTTTCCGACATTTTGTTTTCTAAGTTCCGCCTTTTTCAGATCCGCATAGTGATCTCGCTTTGTTGAAAAAATTAAATGATTTATGTTAACATATGTCATGTTTAGCGACGTAATGTTAACATAAGTCATGTTTGGCGACGTAATGTTAACATAAGTCATGTTTGGCGACGTAATGTTAACATAAGGCGTGTTTGGCGACGTAATGTTAACATAAGACATGTTTGGCGATGTAATGTTAACATAAGTCATGTTTGGCGACGTAATGTTAACATAAGACATGTTTGGTGACGTAATGTTAACATAAGTCATGTTTGGCGACGTAATGTTAACATAAGTCATGTTTGGCGACGTAATGTTAACATAAGTCATGTTTGGCGACGTAATGTTAACATAAGTCGTGTTGGGCGACGTAATGTTAACATAAGTCATGTTTGGCGAAGTAATGTTAACATAAGTCATGTTTGGCGACGTATTTCTCAAGAGCAGCCTCGTGGTTGACTCATTAATTAGTCATACGACTAATTACGGTACTGAACACATTCATATGTATACATTGAGGTTATTTTAATACACAGTTTAATTAGTTTTTGTTCATTAGGCTGGGGTAACCACATACAAAAAATGTATACATTTAGGTGAAAGGTTAAAATATATTGTTTCCCACCCTCCCCTCACCCAAAGCATACTAATTAACATTCTAGCACAGTGTATAGTATAGGTAGCTGTCTCACAAAATTTTACTGAACAGAAACTTCATAATTTTTTTTTTTTACAATTAGCCTGTAATTTGAAACCGTGTGCAGCTAGAGGTAGTATGTGTAAGTCTTACAACACAAGTTCATTCTATAAAGTACATACGAACACCCCCACACACACCTTTGTCTTTACTGTTTGTTTTCTGCAACCGTTGCTGTGTTCATACGATTTCTAACAGATAAGGATTTTGTTAGTTTTGTGGCGTAAATCTAATCTAGTCAACCGTGTTTTAGTAATGTACCCTGCTGTGACCCCCCCCCCCTGCTCCATAAGTAGATCAGTGCTTTATCCGCCTCTAGATAGTACCGTGTGTTTAGCGTTGCTACATCCGCCTCTAGATAATACCGTGTGTTTAGCGTTGCTACATCCACCTCTAGATAGTACCGTGTGTTTAGCGTTGCTACATCCGCCTCTAGATAGTACCGCGTGTTTAGCGTTGCTACATCCACCTCTAGATAGTACCGTGTGTTTAGCGTTGCTACATGTATCCAGTACATGAGTTATCTATTGGATGTGTAATCTGAAATAGTTCTTTCGCACATTTTAGTGTCTGGAGATCCAATGTTTGTGTGATATGTTTGATAATTAAATTGCTATCATATGATCTTAGTATTAGCAAGACGATATGCGTCCTTATCAGTTATTAATTTCTATGTTTACTCTATCGTTTAGTCCAGTCCTCTACAAAACTGTGCCACGACACTTAGCATTCGCTTAAACTCACGTGACTTTCTAATCTAAATCCTCTGATCATAGCAGGAACGAATTAAATCTTAAGTGACAATTAACTAATTAATTAATCAGATTTTTCACTTACATAATCAGCACAACGTTGATTTGTGTTAAGACATTAATTAATTAATGACTTAAGGATGTTCTGTGTCAAATAAATTGTCACATTTCACACCATGGGAGGAAAGAACTCACGCCCAGAGAAAAACAAGGTCAAAACTTCCGGTCAGTTGGGTGAGTACATGTCCGTTTCATGTTTGACCCGTGTGTTGGTGACCCGTGTGTTGACTGACCCGTGTATTGGTGACCGGTGTGTTGACTGACCCCACTGACCCGCGTATTGGTGACCGGTGTGTTGACTGACCCCACTGACCCGTGTATTGGTGACCGGTGCGTTGACTGACCCGTATGTGGACTGACCCGTGTGTTAACCAACCCGTGTGTTAACCAACCCGTGTGTCGACTGACCCGTGTGTGGACTGACCCGTGTATCGACTGACCCGTGTGTGGACTGACCCGTGTAATGGTGACCCGTGTATCGACTGACCCGTCATATAACAGCGTGTGGACCAGACACAGCGTCTTGGCCTGAAGGTCAGGAGACTTAAGGTTAATGTTTTGAAGGGTTAAATGTCATATCCTAGGAAACAAAAGGTCATTGTGTAAGAGGTGAAAGGTTAACCTACTAGCAAATCAAGTTCCTTGGCTTTAAGATTCGATGAACATCAAGTGGTCTTTAGTAAAACAAAAACTCGAGAAATCACGTGATCTGATCTAATTGCCTCTTAATCACTTAATTAATGAAACTGGGATGTTGGTACTTACTCGGGCTCTCTACCAGGACTTTCTCTCTGTATCTTACTCAAACTAACCCTAAGCTAACTACACGTGCACATCTTATCTAGTCCGTAAAGCTTCATTTAAAACCTAAATTTGTTCCCAACAATCATGAACGTGTCCCAGGATGTAAACCAACTCTAACCACACCCACAGGAGATCCTTGATTGGGCCTTACCTCACTGTTTGAGAACCTTGAATTAATCAAGTGGATCTGATATAGCTAGCTAAATGGACGTTGTCATATTTACTGACCAACTACTGTGGTGAATTTACTTGTATTGTATCAATTAAACTTTTCATTTGGTTTCACGTGCTTGCTTAAATATGATCTTTACCTTGATCTGCTAGCAGGCTACTTTAACTATAACTATTTAAAATTGCCTGTATTCTTTAACTAGAACACTTAGTTTGAACTGTCTAATTTCTTACTAAACATGTAGCTATATCTAGCCTAGAATTCATATCTCCTAATCAACTCCATTCAAAATCTACTTCCTTGTTTAATTAAATCCTGAAAAACTATTCAACTTCAACCTCTTTTCTCCCTTTAGCTTAAAAAATATTTAATGTTTCTTTCCCTTTAACTCCTTCATAAGAATTAGACCCATTTGTCTCCCTTTAAAATAAATTATTGTGTTTCTCACCAAGTAAACCCCTCATAACTATTTGTTTTGACTCCGTGTAAATGTAAACACGTTCTAACTAATAAACGTGTTTGTCTCCCTTACACCAGAGTGCAGCTTTATGATGTCCCTCTTACAAAACTACCTAACGTACGTGTCTCACTCTAAAAACTGTTTAACTCGATTGCTTCCCTTATTTCCAGATTCACCGGCCACCTCTGTAGCATCAGCGACCTCTGACCCCGTCCAGTCAACAGACGACTCCCCGTCCCCGGGGATAGGCGAGTACGACAACGCAAGCAGCATCCTACATCAACAGAAAGTGTCGGCGGCCCGACAGCGGCAGCACCAGTACGAGGAGATAGTCCTACCCGACGACGACAAAACACCGACAATCGTCACGGACGACAGACACGCGGCCGTCGCGGAAACAAGTTCGGTGAATAAAAGTTCGAAGTCAGCTGAAGACAAAGATAAGAAAAAAGAGAAAAATGGAAGAAAGAAAGAAAAAACTAAAGATAAAACTAAAGAGAAAAGTAAAGCAGACCCTAGTGTGGAGGTTTCAGAGTCTGATGCGACAGTATACACTAACGTGGCAGCTGTGAGTAAACCTACAGCTCCCAGTGATGATGTGGATGTTGGAGATGTTTATGCTCAGCCAGACAAGAAGAAGAAAACAAAAAATAAACTCAAGGAGGTGAGTACTGTCATGGCTAGTTTAGTTTCCCTTACACCTGGTGGTTGTTGTGGCAGGTGAAGTAGGGTTTACCTGTTTATGTGATCTCAGTGTGGTCCGCACCATTACCGCCTTTACTTTCCCCAAAGTGAGTCAGGTACCCATAAGAGCTGGATGAAATCAGGTACATCCTGTAGACTTGAACTCTATACACTAGGGTTAGCAGTTATGCCTCTACATCCTGACCACGATGTGACAGTGTAATGGTTGGTCCTATCTAGGACATCTGCCTGCAGGACAGTCATTTTCTGAGCCTGTTGTCTGGTAGGACAATTGTCCTGTAGCACAACTGTCCTAGCTAGTTCAAGTCCCAAGTAGTCACCTAATGACTAACCTGCTTAAAAAACACACCCATCAGAGTTGGGTAGAATAATTATTGTATGTAATTATTTGTTTGGGATTCGAACTTGAGACTTTTGGGTTAGTACCCGACCATACATTGTTATCTTGTAATTGATTTAACAGAACACGTTCAATAAATCCCCACAGAATGTATTGAACTGTGTCTTACAGTTTATCCTATTTGTTTTATCCCCAGGATAAGCCTACATTGAACTACATTGAAGTGGAGATAATCCCAAATAAGACAAAGAGCCCTGAGGTAATCCCAGCTAAGACAAAGAGCCCCAACTCGTATTCCCCTACACAGTATTCAAACGTTGTACCGCAAAATGGGAAGATGGTCGTACAGTAAGGGAAACATCCAGCCAATGTTCAAATATCTTCTAAATATATTGGCAAAAGTGGGTTAAAAACTTGAGTTCTTAAAAAAGTTGGTACGCAAAGGTTATCAAGATTTTTGGACACTGTGTGGGAAATAAACGCACAATGTTAAAACAGATCTGTAAAAACATGGAACATGTTGACAATGTATGAGCAACATTGAAAAGAGTACAAGCATTGGAGCGCAGGCAAGATATTTGAAAATGTTGATAAACATACTAAAATATTCCCAGGGCAAAACTTTGTTCAAAGTCCAACAATGATGGATGTACTTAAACGAGAGATTTCTCTTGCTTAACTGGCATCTGTGTGGTACAGTTTTTTATTGATACATTTTATTAAATTATTTAAAAAACATGTTTTAGATGGCCTTAACTTACAACTGTTATTCATGCATTTTTTTTGCTATGTTTTGTATGTAAAGTATTCATATCATACACTCTGTACATACATTCATTAATTGAACAGCTGAGAGTTTGTGTTGTGTCCGGATAATTTTCAAAGTATCAAAGTTTGACGTTTGTATTAAATTTTAAATGATGTGAGCAGTTGTGTAATAGGTCCAATTATTCGTTGTGGTTAGGTTAGACATTTGTTCTTTGTTGTATTTTGTTGCTAGACCATGTTTATTTACTAGCAGTATTTCTTGTTAAATCCAAATATCTGAAGAGTTTCCACCTGAAAGAAATTATTTGAATGTTGCACATTTGCACATAGATATCAGAATATTCTGAGCACCACTTGTAGCTGGTGAACTATGTGCTGCCCCCCCCCCCCCCCTGCACAGTGATATCAAGTGCTGACCATAGTGTAATGGTGGATTACCATCTCATGAATAGCGGCTGATTCTTGAGTAACATTGGAACAGCTTACAGACTTCAACATTTTTTTTTGTTTGAATAAAAATGTTTCATCTTCATGCATTCATATCTCTAAACTAAAGGGAGGTAACATTAATTATAATTCTTGTGTATATGTTTAAACATTTCTCACAGTAACTCAATAGCATCTTTAATTTAAGTCTGATGTAACTTGATGCCTGTTGATTAGTAAATCTAAATAAAATGTGACTATATGA